CCCTAACCCTAACCCTAACCCTAACCCTAACCCTAACCCTAACCCTAACCCTAACCCTAACCCTAACCCTAACCCTAACCCTAACCCTAACCCTAACCCAAATTCGCCATGGTCTAGGCCTTCATGATCCACTAGCTGAATTAGGCAATGATGAGCTAGATGATGAGGCGCTAGGGGCTGACCAGATGCACCATTCTAGGGATACTGCCCTGCGAATCTATGGTAGAGTGATGGCTAGCTTCCAGGGGGTTAGGGCAGACATCCAGACAGCCCTAGTCAACTTCAGTCAGCGATGGCATACCTATTTAGGCCTAGCGCCTGACCAGTTGATCATTCACTCCCTATTCTATAATAGGGAGGTCTGGCAACCTGAGCCTGAGGCAGATCATTCACCTGATTCTGCTAACCCTAAGCCAACTAGGGGTATGGCATTCCCTCTGGATCAGCCAATCATTCAATTCCATTACCCTAGGCAGCCTAAGGCATCACCTCCAGCTCACCAGGTTTCTATTGGCCAGTTCAACGAATTTATTGGCCTCTATGGATTGCCTCAGGCTAGTGATCAAACCCTAAGGCAGCTAGATCAGGGTCAGCTAGCTAGCCAGGCAGCTAGTCAGGCAGCTAGTCAGGCAGCTAGTCAGCTAGATCTAACCCTAGATCTAGATCAGGGTCAGCTAGCTAGGGAGCTAGATCAATCTAGATCAAATCTAGCACCTCAGCAGCAGCTAGATGAGGGTTTGCTAGATCATATGCTCAAAGAGTTTATGCAAGATGATCAGGTGACCTTCAGAAGCCCTGAGCAGCGCCAGGCATTCCATCTCATGATGAAACAGGTGCCCTATCTCTTCTTAGTGCTGCCTACTGCAGCTGGCAAAACAACATTATTCCTGTTTGGGGCTAGTCTAGCCACTAGTCAGGTGACTATGGTGATTGTGCCATTGATCTCTCTGAAGCTAGACCTATTTAGGAAAGCTGCTGCCTTAGGCCTCCAGCCTACTACCTGGGACCCTAACCAGATCATGCCATCAGCTAGTTCTAGGGTTATCTTAGTGCAGATTAAGCATCTAGAGAACCCTAGATTCAATGAGCTAGCTGATCATCTGATTACCCAGAAGAGGCTAGCGCGAATTATCTGGGATGAATGCCATCTCATTCCACTAGCGCAAAGCTATCGGCCAATCATGTTGCGGGCCTGGCATGCCCTAGCCCTACCTGTGCCCATGGTATTCAGCTCAGCTACCCTACCTCATCACCTGCAGGCGGAGCTAGTGAATATGATGAAGTTAGGGTCCCTACCCCATATTCCAGTGGTTAGGGCAGACCTAACCCTACCAAATATGGCATATAGGGTAGAGAAGGTCCCTGACCGCCTGCCTGAATCAGAATATGCCCCCTATCTCAGGCACTTCATCAAGACCTTTGAGATGAAACATGGCCCATTCAGATCTAGTGCTAGTGCTACTACTAGTGCTAGTGCCAGTGCTAGTGCTAGTGCTAGGGCTAGGGCTAGGGCTAGGGTGATCATCTTCTGCCGGTCCAAACGGCTAGTGAATGCTATATCTGAGGAGATGGAGCCTGAGTCAGCCAAATTCCATGCTGATCTATCTGATCAGGCTAAGCTAGATCAGCTAGATCGATTTCAATCTAGCAGATATATCTTAGTGGCTACTGGCGCTATTGGGGCAGGGTTTGATTTCCCTGATGTTGACTTAGTCATCCATTTCATGCCTGGTGAATATCAGATGACTAGTTTCATGCAGGAATCTGGTCGCGCAGGTAGATCACCTGATCAACCTGGATGGTCATATTGCCTAGTGAAGGCATTCTGGATGCAGGCTAGGCCTAATCAGGAAGGTGAAGCCCTAGAGGTCACTACATTCCTAAATTATCTATGTGATCAGGTCTGCAGGCGACGTGTCATCTCTAGGGTTTTCAATGCTAGGGCTATTGAGTCATGTGACCCTAGCTGGGCCCTCTGTGATCTATGTCAGCATAGGCAATCAACACTAGGCCTAGTTAGGCAGGCGGTCAGGCAGGCAGAAGGGCAGAATCATATCCAGATTGATTTCTTTGCCAAAGCAATGAGATTCTAGCTAGAGAGGCACTGCCTAATCTGCTTTATTCAAGGTAAGCTATCTATTATATCTATCTTATCTATCTTATCTATCTTATCTATCTCATCTATCTCATCTATCTTATCTATTAAATCAGGCTAATATATGATCTAGAAGATGAAAACCTGAATATTAAGGCAGCAAGAATGGCATCATGTGCCCATGGCACTAGTGAATGTTCTTAATGGAAGGCATATCAGGTGCATGCCACTAGGCTAAGGCATCAACATGGGAGGCCTGAGGCAGATACCTGCTGCTTTAGGTGTCTCTTACCTACTAGGGCATGCAGGGGCCCTCTCCTTACCCAGGATGGCCAGGCCTGTTTCTCACCTGATCTGATTAGGGTATTCTGGTGCCTAGTCATTGAATATAGGGAGGAGCTAGAGCATGACCCTGCTAGCTGCCTRGAWMCTAGCTTGCTGCCTCAGGCTGCTAGGCTAGAGAATRTYATCTTGAAGAGGTGGGAGCTAGATACTGAGATGGTGCTAGGGGCACTATTATTCTATAGATTTGCTATTGATCATTCTGCTAGATATGGTTGGTAGGCCTAGACAGATCTAGAATGTTCTAGAATCACTAGGCTAGCATGAGTTGAATATATATTTCTTTCTCTTCATTCTATATATATATATATATATATATTCACTTATCAATAGTGTCACTAGATCTAGATCACCTTACTATATATATATTCACTAATCAACAGTCCCCCTAGATCTAGATCACCTTACTATATATATATATTAGGCCTAGCCATGCTGAATCACCTAGTCTTGATACCCTGTGCAGCCACCTATCGCAGCCAAATCACCTGACTGAGCCATGCCTAATCACTAGGCTGAGCCATGCTGAATCACTAGCCTAAGCCATGCCAAATCACCTGGCTGAGCCATGCCAAATCACCTAGTCTAGACAGCCTGCGCAGGGACCTATCGCAGCCAAATCACCTGGCTGAGCCATGCCTAATCACTAGCCTAAGCCATGCCGAATCACCTACTCTAGACAGCCTGTGCAGGGACCTATCGCAGCTGAATCATTTAGCCTAGCTATACCAAACCACCTAGTATAGCCATGCTGAATCACCTAGTCTAGATCCCCTGTGCAGGCACCTATCACAGCTAAATCACTAGCCTAGCCATGCCAAATCACCTGGCTGAGCCATGCCTAGTCACCTAGTCTGGATAGCCTGCGCAGGGACCTATCGCATCCAAATCATTTTGCCTAGCCATGCCGAATCACTAGCCTGAGCCATGCCTAATCACCTAGTCTAGACAGCCTGCGCAGGGACCTAGCCATGCCGAATCACCTGGCTAAGCCATGCTGAATCGCCTAGACTAGATAGCCTGAGCAGGGACCTAGCCATGCCAAACCACCTAGTCTAGATAGCCTGCACAGGGAACTATCACAGCCAAATCACTAGCCTGAGCCATGCCTAATCACCAAGCCTAGTCATACCTAATTACATAGTCTAGATGGCCTGCTTAGGTACCTCTCCCTACTAGGTAACTAAGCCTAGACCTACTCTCTAGATTTCTCTTACCTCTCTCTTACTTTCTAAATATATATATTTCTCTCATACATCACCTCTCCCTAGTAGGCTTATATATATATATATATACTATCCTTACTAGATCTACTATAGTAACTAGACCTAATCATTATCTACCTTACTAGGCCCCCTAGTAGGCCCCCTCTAATATATATATCTCTACTAAATGAAATCCATGAAATATTCACTTCTATGAATTTTTCAAAATTCTAGACTTAATATTACTAAGCATACTATATATCATCCTACTAGTTAAAATTAGGTCTATTTACTAAAAATAATTATAATTAGTAAGCAGGTAATAAATTTTAAAGTAGTATCTAAGAATTTTTAAAAAATAAGGAAGTATGCTTACCTAATTAGTCTATTATTATTCTATAGATAAAAGTCCCTACTATTCACTAAAAATAATTAGAATTAGTCATCTAGTACTAGACCCCTAGTAAATACTAAGAATTATTTTTCTCCTAGTTTCTGCCTAAATTCTAAGGCCCTACTAGCCTAGTAGATACCCCAGGCACTAATCCAGGCTAGATGGTGGCCTAAAAGGGTATAGGCTTCCTGTAGATAGTAGTCTTGGCAGACCCCAACAAAAAATTTCAACCTTACCCCTACCCCCCTAGTTTGACCACCTTCCTAGTGAATAATCTAGAATTTAATATTAGAATATAATAATTTAGCTAATTAGAATCATAAATCATTTTAAACCATTTAGAAATATTAAGATTTGACTATCTTAAGGGGGGGGAATGAGTTACCCTCCTCCCCCCCCCCCTGGCAACCCTAGGATTAGTATGATGCCCCCCCCCGGGGATGGGCTATTATATTGTTTGGATTCTGGGTGTATTACTATTTATATATAATACTAATAGTGAACTATAATATATAGCATAGTTTATTACTATTCTAGGTAATTTATTAGTAAGCTAACTCTTATTTTCTTTAATATTAGTGACCTCTCACTTCATTTACTAATCTGAATCATTAGTGATTGCTTAGTAAGTTTCTACTAAGAATTCTTTTATTACTTATACTACTTAGCTTTATTTATCCTTCTTTATCCATACCATCCTTTATTTACTAGCTATAATAACCTAGATTTCTGACTCTTACTACAATTAAGGATCCTAGATTAAGGACTAAAATAAGGTTTATTCTCTATCTTTAATCCTAGTTAATTTTAAAGTTAAAAAGATATTATTATTTACTAGCTTTAGAATAGTTTATATCTAAATAATATACTCTAACCACTAATTCCCCTTTAAGCTAAATTATTACTAAATTCCTATATTACTTTTAATTACACTCTCCTCTCTAATTAATTGCCGCAGATTCCCCTTTTCTAATTACTATATAGTTATTCCTTTTAGTAAGTGCTCACCTAAAGCCTAAGTCCTGTCCATTAGATCAGTGTTGCCTGGTCAGCTAATTTCAGCTAGAGCTAACATGTGGAGCTCATGCCTAATGCCCACCTTAGCTAGGACCAAAATTAGCAATGTGGTAGTCATACATATATATAGCTAATTTCAGCTAGAGCCACCATTAGGGCCAGAGTTAGCTAGGACCAAAATTAGCTGACCTGCTCTGCATCATGTAGTAGTTATAAACCTAGCTTAGCTAGGACTGAAATTATAGCCTCCCAGCTGACAACATCTAGTGATCTAGAGATCCTTAGCTAGCACTAGACTAGGCTAAATAAGTATTTATGATAGGAAAGTAATAGCTAACCCTTCTTACTTTTTCCCAGGAACTAATAGTATCTATTACTACCCTAGTTACTACTACCACCCCTTATAGCATCACTAGTGTTAATTATAATAAGATCTTTATATAGAACCTTAAGAGGAGTACCCCCCACCTTACTAGCTATTTTAGTCTTATAGACTCTGTGGTGATCTAGGACCTAGTTAATAAGGATATAGCTACTAAGGATATTATAAATGCCTACCTAGCCTACTATATAAATAATTATGCCCACACTAATAAGATTAAGGGAGCTATCTATAATAATATTATTAACTAGTCTTAGGACCCTAATATCCTCCCCACTCTTCTTACCCCTTATGCCCTGAAGGTCAGCATCCTTAAGGTCTAGGCTAACTAGCTACTAGAGCTAATAGTGCTCTAATATATTATTTAGCTTATAAGAGCTAAGCTATCCCTCTTCTCTTATACTAACCTAGCTATATAGCCTATCACCCTGGATTATTATGATATCCTCTATAGATAGAAACTCTTAGCATTCTTCTAGAAGTAGATCTAGGATAGTAAGAAAGCTAAAGATCACCTCTAGAGGAACCCTGTAATGGCCCCTATCTACTATAACCCTAGTAATAATAGTACCTATCTTAGCTCTAACTAAAATAATAGTATAGTGGCAGCTCTAGGTGTGCTCCTAGCTAAGGCTATATTTAGTACAGCCTATAATTAGGTGAATACCTACCTTACTGCTAACTAGTGTACTTAATAGCTAAATGCATTCACCCTATAATACTATAACACTGTGGGGGAGACCCTTAATAGGATTTTCTATTTAGATTTAGGTAGCTAGAAGGCCAGTATCTAACACCCTACTATAATAGCAGTTAAGCAAACCCACCTATAT